TCGTCGCTGCAATGCAACGTCTATTAGGAAAAAAATAGGGAGGCAAGCATGGCATGATTTGAAGTATTGACCTCACAAGCAAGAGTAAGATTAAAAACAAGAAGAAAGATTGACAAAGGAAACGAGTAATTTTATTAATGACAACCAATGGAGAAAAATACAATATCAGCAATTCATAAATTGGAAGAAGATTCAAATATATATAGAGGCAATCCAAGTCCTAGAAGTAGAGTTGTAGATAAAATAGAATGCTCAAAAAATTTCTTATCTTGATCTATTTAAGTCCGACTCCAAATAGGGTTTTCAAATTGAACTTCAACTGGAATTTTCAATAGATTTCAAATAGGATTTCAAAAGAATTCCAATTAGAATCCTTCTTAATGTGATTTTAATTAGATCTCTCAATTATCTTCATCAAAAAATTTGGGTAACGCCCAAATTCTAACAATCTCCACCTTAGCACAAATTCCAGTGCAACAAACGAAGCTCCAAAATTTCTGCACCTAAAAAATAAATCCAAATGTAGCAAAATCAATTGAACTCTTCAACCAGAACCAAACTTCTCCACCTCACAAAAAATTACTCTTCCTCTTCCACAATATCCACAAATAATACCGGAACCTAAACACCGGGTTCCCAAAATTCCCACAAGGAATTCAAGATTTACTAAATAAGATCGAAGCATGCCCTGTAGCAGAATCAACTCCAAATGCTTTAACTGAAAGCCCTTTACTAGTCTCGACACCTTCAAAACCACAAAAGCATACGCAACTAGATCAACATCCACGTACCTATCCTCAATTTGTCCTTCCCTAGCAGTTGAACACGATGGCACCGCAAACAATGGTGGCAAAGCGAAATTACCCATATCCTCCAAATTCATCCGAGTAGTGTTCCTCAATAATGATCCAGCGCCAATTCCCAAACGTACTGTACCAAACGGTATATCCACCACGGTACTAAATCTGTGATGATGATTCTTCACCAATTCTGTGTGACCTTGCAAGATGTATAACCTAGACCTCCTAGGCCCCTGTAATACAACACGAACACTTTCGAACCTTGAAAACTCCACCGCCTCCAAAGAATTCATAACCCTTCGAATCAAGGGTACTCATTGAGATGAGATTCTTCTTCAAATTTGAAACATGTCGAATCTGGCCTAGTTCTCTAATTGTCACATCCATCAACTTCAATCTGACCTTGCTAATATTAGCTACTCGACATGGTTCGTCGTTTCCCATGACAACAACGCCTTGCGTCGTCGTTTCATAAGCTTCAAACAAATCCCGATTGGGACACATATGTGTATCCAAAGTCCATTCCTCATCAAGCTTGGATTTTACTTTTGAAATAGTCAACACATTTTTGCCACTTAAATCGTCCTCAAATACGTTGGTCTCATTTAAAATATCTAATTGCCTCTCATGAGTTGCAGCGAATTACACTTATTCTGCAACTTTTCGTAATCTCTCTTGATGTGTCCTTTCCTCTTGTAATAGAAACAAACTTGATTGCTGAAATTCACCTTCGACTTACTCATTCGTCAATCACCATGAACCACAAGACCTTCTCCATCTCTAGACTCGAATCCAACTAGATGCTTCATCTTTTCCTTTGAGAAAAAGGCATCATGCACGTCTTCAATGGTGAGCTTATCATAACTATACAAAATTGTTTCCCTGAACAACGAAAACTAAACAGGCAATAAGCACAACTGGATCAAGGCCAAGTCCCCTTTATCATTTTTACCTCTAATATTTCCAAATCAGTGACAATCTCCTTGAACACAACCAGATGGTCTTCCAAAGATCGTCCTTCTGCCATGCGATGAGAATATATCTTCTGCTTCAGATGCAACTTACTTTTCAGACTTTTGGTCATGCATAATTGCTCCAACTTCAACCATAATGCAGTTGTTCTCTTCTCCTTCAAAACGTTTTGAAGAATATAGTTAAATAAATGAAGATGAATATGGGAAAATGCCTTTCGATCCTTCCGTTGCTTCTCCTCTATTATCCAAGTTATGGGCATCTTATCAAATCCAACAATGCTTCATCTAAATTCATCTGTGTCAAAACAGCTCGCATCTTTACTTGCCATAACGAAAATCTTTTATTGCGATTCAAAAGCGAAATTTCATAATTCATGGCTACCATTAATAATAGAAACCAAAACAAAATTCGCAACCAGTAGCTCTGATACCACTTGTTGGGAAAAAACAGGGAGTCAAGTATAGCACGATATGAAGTATTGATCGCACAAGTAAGAGCAAACTTTAAAACAAGAAGAAAGATTGACAGAGAAACCGAGTAATTTTATTATTGACAACCAATGAAAAGAAAAATACAATACCAGCAATTCATAAATTGGAAAAAGATTCAAATATATATAAGGACAATCCAAACCCTATAAGTGGAGTTGTAGACAAAATAAAATGCCCAAAAATTTTCTTATCTTAATCTATTCAAGTCCAACACAAATTTCAACTTTCAATAGGGCTTCCATATAGAACTTCGACTAGAATTTGCTAATATACTTCGAATATGATTCCAAAAGCATTTTAATTAGAATTCTTCTTAATGTGCACTTTAATTAGAATCTCAATTATCTTCATCAAAGAATTCAGATCACGCCCAAATTCTAACAACATCATCATTGCACTATCGACGTGAGACACTGCAATAGCGACTGACATGCAATGTGCTCAGCGACGATGCCGTTGCAAGCGGCTTGAGCCCCTCTGCTGTAACGACGAATGATGGACCAACGCTGCTGCTGTTAGAGATTTGTTGGTCTTGATAAGGGACGGACCCCATGGGGTCATGTGGGGTCAAATGACCCTACAAAATTTTGGTTTTTTTCCCAGAAAATAGTAGTTTTAACCATTTTACAACCTACTTTAATATATGCCAAATGAAATCGAAACATTGCATTCTTAATATCATTTCAAAATACTCATGACCTAATTTCTCTCTTCTTAATGGCTTGCGAAATAATCAACCATAACAAAAGTTACAATATATTAAAGTAGGCATTCTAAATTAATATTACGAAAATTTCGATAATATACTAACTTTAAAATTTTTCAATGATCGTATACTATCCGAATCCACAAATCTCCTGCGTCATCTAGAAACTTGTTTTGAGAACTACATCATTGTCATATCGAATGGTCCAAACGGATATTGAAAATAGTTAAAAGAGACGTTTAACTCGTTTTTTCTTTTAAAAAAATTTAATTATTTCATCAACGTTTATTATTTTTGCACGATAAATTTTTCAATATAATTTACATCATTTTATTAGGAAATTTTACATGCAAGGTAAGTGCTACAAGATCTCGTGCATTGGAACCCATGGTTATGGACGCGATGAATAGGCCCTTCTCTTCCCAAAGGAAGAGAGAAAGCAAGAGGTAGCTGCTCTCCTGGATGCATGAATGAGGATATAGATTAGACAAGGTAATCTGCCAACCGTCGCATAAGCCCTATACAGAAGATAGGCGAATCGAGGAATCCCTTAGATATGATGCAAAACGGATATTGTTTGCAATCTGACGCTTTAGTCCACTCAGTCTTCTCTGTCAAATGGTTTGGCAATTCCTCATGAGGGCCAATAAAATGTAATCAGAGCAAGTATGAGTTGGCCACGAAGAATAAGAAACATTTACTTGTCTTTCCCTTCTAAACCTTTTGGATCTTATTAACCAAAGAGATACTAGAGCTAGATCCACTTTTTGGGGAATATGAAGTGATAGCACCTGCTTAAGTAAGAGGGTTTTCGTGATTCTTCTACGCTCCATAAATTTATTCAAACACTTTAGAAATCCTTTGCCATGAAAGACCAAAATTCTAAAATCGTTACGAATTAAACGTAATTTGAATTAGTTTCAATTTATTTTTTCGTTAAACTTAAATTTCATTTACTTCCTAAATTATATGTGAATTTTATTTCAATTCATTTACTTTCTACATTCAATTTGATTTATTCACCATTAGCTCAATATCCATAAATGACATGGTAAACAAAACTATACATATAGTAAAATTTATTTAACAATATTAATAATGATATAATTATAAGACATTTTCAAGGTGTCAAAATGCGTATTAACTTATTTTTATTAATATTATATTGTTTTAAAAAATTACATATTAATTTTTGACCCCACAACCCAAAAAGGCTAGGTCCACTCCTGGTCCCGATCTGGAGAAATTTGGTTAGGATCTAGTACTGAAAAATTTAGGTTGAGTTTTGTTGGTTGTCCTTAAATCCTCAAATAGTATCAACTATTACCATCCAATTATCTGAATCTTTCTTTCGCATAGCCAATGTAAAAATTAATTTGCTAGTCAAGAAGAAAAATCCAAATTTTCAATGCAACAAAAAAATTCACACTAGCTATTATGCCGGTAATTAAGGCAAGCCTAACATTTTCGTTTTTCTTGAAAAATTCATAAACTCTGACGAATTCAAAATGCCTACTAACATAGGTCAAAAATAAATTATAACTTATTAGAACTATTCTAACAAACAAAAAATAAATAATTAAATCTTTAGTTGGTAAAAATTTTGATAGAGGTAGAAACATAAATATAAATAAATTGAATAAAAACGATTTGTTTGTACTTATTTACTTTAGCCCATGTTTGTTGTTGATTAAAATCTACTAAAAAATCTAAAATTGAAATTAACAATTAATTTTAACCGTGTATTTCTTTGGATCCAAGACATCTCAACCACATATTTATTCAACTTTTATCAAAATCTAATAGAAATCTGATTTTATCTGCACCAAACAAGGGGCTTATAATAATTTTGTTAGTTAGTTATAAATAAGTTATTTATATATTTTATTATCAAAATATTTTATAAAAAAATTACTTGTAAATATCAGAATGTCAATGCATGCATTTCAAGATGGTTGGAATTATAAATTAGTTTGAAAGTTTATTTGACTTATTTTAAGTTTAGTCTAACATACTCGATCCATGATATATTTTTTTCATAATTATCATTCTCGGTAAAAGAAATGACACATTTGGGAGCAAAGTCTTTCCCAATCCTGAATCCAACACGAGATAATGGATAGCAAGTAAATTATTTTTCCTCTTTCAAACAGAGAAGAGGTTACTTTCTATAGAAGAAAGGGTACTAGTTCATAATAGTTATTGTAATACATATCTGAAAATCATACAGCATTTGCACTTGATGGCAGCCAAGTTGAGTTCTTCTACAGAACTCGAGCATTTTTTTTCAATTATTTATTGAAAGTGTTTCTGCTTCAAGGGCAAAAGACCACTCGATAATTGGTTCCTCCAGGACAAGTAAATGTGCTAGTCTGATCATCTTTAGGATAACTATATGCATCAGGGCACTTGTCCTTAAAAAACTTAGAAAACATCGTTGGCCCACAGCTTCCTGAGTTGCAACAATATTGATCAGTCTTGAACACCGTGCAAGGGTTGTTGCAACCGCCGGGTGCCTTCAGCTGATTCGGACATTGGCCATTGATGTCAGCAGTGCAGCGGATTCCGCGGGTGCACCCACCGGAATTGGGACTAAATTCCATCGGCACATTAAACCCATCAACAAGGGATATATCAAAGAAGTCCAAGTTATTATATTGGTTGAGGGCATATTCAGCTAGGGTGTTAGGTGGTGTACCATAGGCTTGACACGATAGTAATCCATTGCAGTCTCCTGTTTGACATTTACCGCGACCGGAGCCATCAAAGTTGCAACCTGTTCGAGCCCAAATTCGGGCTCCTTTAGTGCCCGCACTAGGGTTGATGGTCCAAGTTTGGCCGTTGTTGAGCCGCATGCCGCCACCAGGGACAGCTGCAGCCCAGACTGGGTAGGGACAATTGTTACGAATTATGAACGTGGCTGCGCTGGTGTAGTGGAAGAAAAGGGAAGCAAGAGAAAAAATGAAAAATAAAATGGAGATTGACCTGAAGGAGCCCATATTTTGAACTGGGGGGATAAGTCTATATTGTATTTGAGAATGAACTGGCTGGGTTATATAGGGAGTGAGCTTGTAGAAAAAATGATAAGCTTTCATTTGGTATTGATTTAAGTTAGATTTTAGTTTAAGTCAAAGTCAAACAATCAATATTAATCACATATTTCAAAGATCTTACAACTTTTCAATCACATATTTTAAATTTTTTTATTAAAATCTATTTTTAATGCCCACCTAACAGGGCTAAATTTATTAGATATTAGTCCTAATATAATATTTAATGATAATGTTTGAACCAATCAAAATTCATAGGAGTCTTGATCAACAAATCCCTATTACAATTCCAGAACATATTGGTCTAAAATAATATCCTTAAAAAGAATTTTTTAAGGATATTATTTTAGACCAAGAACATCTAATAGCCATTTTAGTCAAATAAAGTACTCTAAAAAAATTAGCAACCAGAATTCTTCTCACAGAATAAATCCAGAAAACTCACATGAGATGAGTCCCACGTGAGTTTTATATTGAAAAAATATAACCATCCACTTCACGAATAGTGTGTGATCTGTAAGATGTCTGTCAAACTATATTCTGTAAGTGTAGTGCACTTCAAAAATTTATTCAAACATACTAATTATTTTCTAAGGATATTATTTTAGACCAAGTACATCTAAATAGCTATTTTAATCAAATAAAGTACTCTAAAAAATTATTCAAACGGCTAAAAATAGCTTCTTATCAGAAACATCTTTTGGCGTCTCAAATATCATGACAAACATCTCTCTAGTTCAGCACAACAAATCTATGGTTAAGTTATTAAGGCCATGTTTGTCACTTTTTAAAACAAAACACTTTAATTCTCATGTTAATTTTCAATTATATATTCTCATAATAAAATATTTTAAAACACCATTTTTCAAAATAAGGACCATCAAACAGGGTTAGATGAGGATGCCACCTAGTAATTTAGGCTTTATTTGTCTACCATTCCATCACATTATTTTTTCTACAGTACTCATTTCCAACATATATTCTTCATTAAAATAATATTATACGCAAATAAAAAAAATTCTTTCTTTTTTAACCACACATTTCAACACTAATCACTATTCTATAATACATTATTCATAAATAATGGGGCACAAACACTCCCTAAGTAACACATTTCTACATACACTAGCTAGTCTAGACTTATAGACTTACTTTACGTTTATATTTAAGGGGGCTACTATTTAAACAATCCTTAAACGATCAGGGGGTTGTTCAAGGGGCGTTTTCCTAGCGACACAATAATTATTTAGCCCTCGTTTGGCTCCATTAATTTTCATTTCATTCCATTTCATTTCTCTCTTTCCTATTTTTAACTATACAATCTTCCATAAAATAATATTATACGTAAATCGAAATTTTTTTTCTCTTTTTCAATCACTCATTTTTCAGAAAAACGTTATTTCACTCATTAATTTTTCCACAATGGACGGCAAACGGGGGCTTAAAGTGTGTGGATGAATGGTTGCCAATTGTAATAAATCTTCGTTAAATCCACGTCCCACCAAACTATTCATTGTCCCTTGTTTGAATGAGATTTCTCATTATACAACAAGAAGCATTTAAAAATTGACATTGTACTAGTAAATTGTCTGAGCATTTACAAGTCAAAGAAGACGGTGAAAGATTGAAGTTCCAAAATACCCCAATCTTCAAATATATATACAAAAACGATCCTCCCAATTGATGGATGACACTACATTTATAGAAAAAGGACAATTTGGAAATTTGGAAATTAGAACCTGCCATCAGACTTACCATAGTCAACAATTCTTTATTTTAACTCACAATAACTGACAAACATTAACTTGTTGGTCAATAGTGACAGCAAGAAAATTGGCCTAATATTTATGATTATTTGAGACTTTTCGGTAGCTCAAATTCTACCCGTTCAAATCGCTGTCGGCATATTTGATAAGGTTCTGCTGACATGATTTTTTATTTTACTTTTGTCTCTTGTTGAAGGAATTTTCGACGTTATCGTAATTTTTGTTTGAAAATTAATTTTTTAAAAAACTTTACATTCAATAAGCATTAAAAAAATTATATTAGACCAACTTCCTTTGCTCTTCTAATTAGAAGAAGCATTTTAATAAAATTAGTAAAACGACAGAAAAACAAGTTTTGAATTTCAAAAACTCATTTTAACTTTTCAAAAATTATGTCAAATGAACCCTAAATAAAAATAAATATATAAAAAAATTTTACTTAGCATATGCAGTTCAAGGTAATTGTTTTCTTACTCATGGTGAGTAAGAGAAAATGTACCCACAACTGACGTGGCAATATCACATCTGACTTGCAAGTCAAATGTCGATACAATAAGCGACCCTTTCACTGTAGACAAGAGATCATCTATGTAAGTTCAAATCTACTTTGTATATTGTATCAAACATGCACTAGTAACATTGTTGATAGTGAAGATCATATTGCAGTGGAAAGTCTAAAAAAAGGATCATTATACTATTAACAATTTCCAATATTATGTTAGAAATTCTATTAAGTTTCAGTTTCAAAAATTATTACTTTTTAAATTTTTAATTTTTAATTTTGGTTTAATTAAAATCTTTATTTATAATATAATATATACTTAAATATTTGAATGGAGGTTATGCATTAATTAATTTCACATTGTTGTGGGGGTTGATTTTTACCTATGAAAGGGATGGTGATTTCATTGTTAGATGCATCATAAAAAGATGTAATTTGAAAACATAAAAATACTTCATTTATATTTCATACTATATTTCAATAGTTTTGGCAACTCAATGAGATATTTGTTCTTTATTTCTCTATGACCGTGCTCATAAAAGGATAATTGACTATAAGCTACATGTGTTTTATCCTGGAGCATTACCAGCACGAAAGGGAGGCAGAGATGACTTTATGACAACGTCTTTGACGTGACTCTCTAAGGCTTGCTTTCTAAATCTCTTCTAACTTTACGTTATATTATTGTCGAATTGTATTTATTATTTTATTATATTAATTGATAATTTATCTACATACAAATCACCTATTTTTCCCAGCAATATAAAGTTGTGCTTGAGATAATTTGTGTAGATGAATGGCATGGGTGGTCTTTAGTCAGTAATGGCTCTGTATTTCTTATTTGTTCTTGTTCACCTTCTAAAAGTAATTTGGACAAAGCATTGAGCAAGAAGAGATACTAATATGATATTCAAATATGAAGAGGAAAATAATTAATTTTCCGCAATCCTAATTTCATTCTACGTACATATTATGATTGTCACAATATTTTGATTATGTGACCAAATCAAGCAATAAAATTCATTTGAATCTCTCTTGAATTCTATTTGCTGCTTACAATATTGTACATCATACTTGATGTTTTTAATTTGTTTGCTTATTTTTGTAATATATTTTTATTTTCTTGGAAGAATTCCAAATAATGGCATAAATAAAAGACGCCACATAGTTGAAGTCCCAGTCGATGAAGTGCATCAGTTGAAATTAATATGTGCTGGGAACGCAATTCCTGCAACAGAAATCTCTCAATGTCCTAACCAGTTCTTGCTTGTCAGGCTTTGGCAAAAAAAAATACGATCTCTTTGGCTAAAGAATAGCCATGAAAGGAAAATCAGTATCAGTTGAATTAATATTTTCCTCCCTTCACTATTAAAATTCAATTAGTATTGTCTGCTTCTAATATCTACTTTATGACCTTAAATCTTAACAACATACATATTACACTTCTATAGAATATCGAGAGTAAATTTATGTGATTTTCCAAAACTTCTCCTTGGAAACCTTTGTGATGCAGGAAATTGTTGGGATAATTCCCTCCTATTTGCTTCATATAAGGTAACTACTATCTGCGATTTTCATTGCCTCTTTTCCTATTAGATAACAACATTGTCAGGTTCAGTGAGGCTTACTTGGGAAAAGAAAAGGAAACCTCAATAATAAAAAAAGAGTCCAAACTTGGGGGTATGCCTTTTGAGTTTCTGCTTGAAAGTCAGGATTTATATAAAGTGCAATAGGCCAAATTATCATTTTCATGTTTCGATTGTTTCGATGGTTGCATTTTCATTGAATGACCTGAGATAATGGACTTAAATTATCTTTACATAAGATGACTTTGATGTTTCTAATGAGCTTCGGTGTTATTCTTTCGAGCGTGTTCGTCGCTAACAATTAAAAAGAATTAGATAATTGTGTAAGGGACAAACCTCTTGAGACAAAGTCCCAAAAAGGGGTGTTCTTTATTGGCGATGACTTTACAATTGGAAATTAAAAACAGAATGCCTCCAAGGGGTGCAAGCACACGAGTTACTGAAAGAAGTGTTTAAATCTAAACTAAGAAATTTAAAATTACATATTCTCTGTTCGAGAGTTTTTTATTCGGGGTCCTTTACTCTATGTCTTTTTTTCCTTTTATACTCCCTGGATGATCTCTTTGTGATCAACCGCCTAAAAACTGCTTGATCGTTCTATAACTGCCCACTTTCCTCGTAATGGCCAACTTGTCATGAAACTGCCTTTTTTAACTGCTGTCATTACTCTTCGTCGTTCAACCGTTTTCGATTGAATTCCTTGAATCGTGGAACGTAATAGGGTTGCTTAATAACTGCTTTGATAACTGCGCTTCTTGATGACCACAACACTTCATATTTGCTAAGACCTTGGGCGACTCGAAGGTTTGGGCGATAATAGAGTAGCAGTTCTGGGCGACTGCATGGCACTCCATTCGCTCAGATCCTGGGCGATTTGCAAGCTTGGGCGATGGTGTTACCGTGTTCCTGGGCTTTCCTATTTGGGTCTTCATCCTGAATTGTCTGATTGGGTTTCATTCTTTGGGCTATCTGATTTGGGGATCTTCCCATTGGGTTTCATTCCTTGAGTCGTTCGATTTGGGCCGAATTTTTATGTGTCAACAGTTACTTTGATCTCAGCTAGAAATGTATGGTTCATAAAAAGAAAGATAAGAGTAAACATAAGTTTAGATCTAAATTTAGAGCTAATGA